TCCTCCAGCTGAGGGCATAGTTCGGGAAACCAAAAGAGTTTTATGTTGAAAACCTACCCAGGGATACGGAGTACGTTGGCCCTGTTCCTGGCTCAGCGCCCTTCGCAGTGGCGAATGCGAGGAACGAGGCACTGATGACTGCGACCAGCGTGAAAGGTGACATCGTCTTTAATAGTTGGTGAAGCGGCTGAATAGTGAGCCTAAAGGCAACCTAAAACACATTCGCGTGTAGAATTTCCACCGAAACAACTTCGACCACGACATCATCCTTTGCTTCAACAGCGTTTCGGCACTCGGTGCCGGGGTTCCTCCTGAACGGTGCTCCTGCTGGGCTGGCCGGGCAACTGTGACTTTGCTCGGCAACGTCCTACGACCCCCGCAAAAGGAAACTAAGATCTAAAGGTCATTAAAATTATTTTGGTTGTACAAAAACATTCAAGACAAGGCGATGAGACATCAATGCTGACTCAATCAGCCTGCGGGATCCCTAGGATGCTTGTGCCTAGCACCTCCGTCACAGACACCGAATTGCAGGCTCATCGCTGGACAAATTAGCACCAATCTCTCATTAAAATTCGTTATCACCATATCATAAAAGATATAATTCTCCTTAACTCCTTGTTTCCTGCACTGACCGGTCAGTTCGCGACAGAACCCCGGCCCGCTGCTTTGATCAAAAGAAACTCGTTCGAAAGTACTGTTCACACTGCCTTGGCCCTGGCATTCTACAAGTGGTATGGCCTCCAGAATAAAACGGGATTGTGTATCATAATATAACTAGTTCTTGACAAGTCCATACAAACCGAAGGCCGTCCACGCAAAACTCGTGCCCGCTTTGCCTCGACCGCTCGCGAGACAGGCGGACCTGCAGGGCAAGAGCACGTATAAGCGTATGCGTTGTGGTATTCTATCCTCTCACACTACTAAACACCTATGCAGTTTTCACAGCAGCCACATTCCGCGTTGTTAGCTCGTATTCTCTTGTTTACAACAGACTTGGCGGTAACGAGCTACGCAACCGCGATTGTGAGAACTCGTGTGCTCTTCCTTGTTACACAACTCTGCAGAGCAAGCTATTGCGAATTGGAGACGCATCAGCTTTGCTAAACAGCCCATATATCTGTCGATTGGCCGCTGGAAGCCTTCAGCCACCTAGTTCCCCAAACGCACGTTAGGCACTACAGCTGAGCGGAATGTTGGACTTTACACAGGCACTGGTTCGAACTGATTTATTCTTTAGCACGGTTCATATGTTATTATGGCATTGAAAACGTGAAACTAGTGGGGTGGAGCAGAAATTTTCCTAGAGAGGCGCAAACACTGCGTAGAAACGATATCACGATGCTTCAAGGCGTCTCTTTGCGCAGAGGCAGG